ATCGTATGGTCGGCCCCGTCCGACTATACTGCTCCGCTCACTGGTTGTATTTTTAAAATAATTTTTACAATAGCAATTAAAAATACTCTATCTGGATATTCTATGATGTTTGTTTAATTTCTCCCAATAAAACTGTATTGCTGTAGTTAATATAACGTTTTCAATTTCTGTCATTTGATATTTCCCTACAATACAATTGATGGAATCAAAATTTGACTGTAAATATTGGTTGATTCACTCTCTTTCGTTTTAATATTCAAATGATGATGCAATTGATTGCAATGACGCAAAAGGAATGACGAAGATAATGATCACTTCCTATTTGTGCAGCAACATTTGCAAAAAATATGTACATATGTATGTGTGAATGTTAACATACAAATATATGTACGTATATACGTAAACTAGAGAGATTGGCCATAAGCCAAACGTAAACAATACCAACATTGGGAACCCACAAAGCATCACCAAACGGACACACCGCATTATTCATGTACAACGTAACATGGGTGGTTACACGAAGGCAGGCAGACAGACATCCACACAAATGGTCGCGGAACGTGTTCTCATAAATTTGATGGAAAATATGGAATTTGTTTTATTTGTCATTGCTGGCGGTTGGACTTTTAGTTTTTCGAAGTTTTGGAAGTTTATAAAAATTAGAAGTTGGTTGGTACTTGGGCTTAAATTGTTTATGACCTCATAGAGTGAATATATTTTATATCTATCTCTTGAATACACAATCGAGATCGCAATTTTTAATGTATGAAAAACCGAAAACCGAAACCGAGGCATTGGCCCTTCATTCATGTATTATATAGCCCCCCCTACATAATCGTACTGCAATATTTTGGAGGTTTTCAATGTTCTACTTGTAACTTCCAACCAAATGTTCCTGGAATTTGACATGCTGGCTTCCTTGAGGGAAAATTGCAGAAACTATATGTCACGACTATGCTGTTTAGGTAGTTTGAATGCCACCTTCATGATGGAGGAAATAAAAACGTCATATCCGGTCTTTTTACTTGTATTTATTTCAAATTGAAATGTTAGGTTCCCATAGAAAAGAAAACTGAATATATCCATTTTTAAAATACAAAACAATAGTAAAAAGAATACTGAATATGTTAAACAAATATAACTGTGGGATTATCATATGCAAACAAATTCCACAGTTGAATACATTCGTTTGGCTGACATACATGGTGGAGGAGGAATTCAAATCGTTTATCTCTTCAAATAAATTAACAACAGCTATTCATATTTTATTGTTTGAACATGAATGTTAACAAGCAATAAATTACGATTTATTTTTTACAAAATTAGCATTTGATAGATAAATAAATAAATAGTGTTTTGTGTTCTAACACAACTTTCGTTTACACTGCACGTTATCAGTTTAGAATACTTTCAAATACAAGTTTCATTGATGTTGTAGTTAGAAGGAGTTAACTGAGGGAACTTAAATAATTAAAGCTTTAACAAAAGTTTGGACATGAAGAACACTTTATAATTATGCATACTGAAATCATACCGAAAATTAATATTGAAAAGCATGGCGCGCACAAATTTTATTTTCAGAACTTTTTTATTGTAGGTAAATATTTTGATAGCTCAAGTTCAAAGATGGGGAATATCGGTTCTTGTAAGGTAAAACATATTTATGCAGAAAATTGTCTGTATAGGTCTATGTTTGGACATATCACCCGTATAAATATCATATTTGCAGCAATTTAATTTTTTTTAATTTAATTAAAAAATTTAAAAATATGTTTGCCAAAACATTTCCCTTGGTATAACCCCCATATAAAGTGCAACGCGACTTATTTTCGAAATTTTGAAGTGGCTATAAATTGGGTTTCCTGATACCCAGTGGATAAATAACTTCTTTTCACTGTGTTTCCTACATAGTTTCATTATTTTTACATCGCGCCATACAATGGCCTCTCTTAATTTCCTAGCCGAGGTTTACAACCTGAGTGTCTATGCCATATCGCATATTCACCATATCAAGAATATTACAATTTGTTAGGAATTTTTGAATACACATCACACAATAAAGTTTGGTCCGGCTGAGCTTTATGAGTTGTTTACAGATGCTCTGACACCTTTTTAACACTGGCAATAAAACTATTCGCGTAGAACATAGGGACATGTCTAACCGTCACAATGAAATGAACTAAAATAGAACATAGGGACATGTCTAACCGTCACAATGAAATGAACGAAAATAAAAAAGCAAAAAAAAAAAAAAAAAAAATTGTTGCTAAACGAGATTAAAAAGTGCTAAATCTAGCACTAAAAGTGCTAAATTGGCACCACTGGTTACGATCAGTGATACCTAGAAGTAGGGGTGGTTTAGCATTGGTAGTAACTAAATTATCCAACCACTAGGAGCCACTTTGACTAGATCATCAGTTTTTTCATTCCCTATTATGTCGCTGTAATCTGTAATTTTTTACCCTCCAACATAGTATGGAGAGTATATTAATTTGGTTTTTCCGTTTGTAACTTATCGAAATAATCATTTCCGACCCATATATTCATGATCAGCGTAAAATTCCTTGACGATCCAAGCATGTCCGTCTGTTTGTTGTAATCACTCTAGCGTCTAAACGAATTGAGATAGATCGCCAAAAATTTAGCATAGAGTCCAATTTTTAGTATTTTGGTCCACTTTTTCTGTTAGCCCCCATATTTCAGTTTTTGCGTGGCTTTGACTTCATTTTTCCCCCGCATTGGCTGTAATATAGTACTTAGAGTTCTTATTGAGTAGCAAATCTCCCCACTAAAAAATATAAATATAGGACCCTTTATTCGGTTAGCCCCGACCCCGGTATTTTGGGGTTTGGAGTGCGTTTTACAACTGAATTCGCAAAATTTGGTACATTGGGTTCTTATTGGGTAACGAATTTCTCCACTAAAAATTATAAATATAGGTCCACTTTTTCTGGTGGTCTCCATATAACGGTGCCCTAAATGTTCGGTATTTTTGGGGTTTAGGTCGTATTTTTCGACCGAATTGGCTGTAATTTAGTACTTTGAGTTCTTATTGGGTAGTAAATGTCTCCACTAAAATTTATAAATTTAGATATATTTTTTTCGGGTAGCCAGCATATGAAGATACCCCCGATTTTGGGGTTCTTGAGCGCGTTTTCAACAAATTATTTGTAATTGGTAACAAATCTCCATCCCAAAACCGAGAACGTGAGGTTCGAGATTGAACTATAACGGCACGCAGTTAGCCCCCATAACTGCCAATAACTACCGATTTTCGGTATTTTTAATATTTAGCGTAAAGGAAGTTATTGTGATGCAAAAATGTTAGTTTCGAAATTGATCTATATCATTGATCTAGGCATAACACCTCATATACTGATAACTACAAATGTTCGGTAATTCCTACACGATGTAATAAATACTGGCGCCGCTATAGGTATCGCCTCCAGGGACGTACTCATACAATTTTTTTCTGCAATGACAATTTTCATATTGAACCAGCAGCTACCACCTAACCCACCGTAAATTGCAGTATTTTGGGGATGTTTCACTCTACCATGCGTCACCGATATCGGTCCACATGTTGGTATTTTTAGGAAAAATCTCCATTAAAAATTGTTGAAATTTGTATTTGGTGTACATTATGGTTTACACAAATCGGTTTGTAGAAATGTCGGTATAGGCCCAATTTTTCGTATGTTCCCTATATTTTCATTTAAAGTAGGTACCTGTCAATATAGATTTGTTATTCCAAACTAGTCAGACGTAATCCAGGTTTGTTGTTTTATAAAAACAACTTTTTATTAGTGTGGAAAGTATGACATTGTTCACCAGGGAGTAAGTCTGGGAAGACTTTAGTTTCGGATCTCGCCACTGATCCTCATCAGCCACAGATCCTCATCAGCCACAGATCCTCACTAGTTTTATACCCATATGTCTCTTGTAACAAATCGAAGTATTAACGTTACCAGCGATACATCTCACCGAGAAGTTCGTTGGTGCCTACTATCATAGGTATCATTCTCGGACATTTTGCAGTTTCGTTAACGTTATTTAATGAAACATATCCAGGCTTCCTTCCGTATAGCTCCCTTGATCGCACCTTTAACAAAATAAACTATGAGTTTGAAGGTATTGTTTATTTTCATTTTAATGCATATATACTATGTTTGAAAGAAAGTGTACTTATATAAACACGCCCAGTGTACTTGTCTTTTTTCGGCAATAATTATGTGCATGCAATTTACATTAATCATGATTTTCGTGAAAATAAATATGTACATATGTATATTGAGTTAAAGACATTTAATAAATATTCATGGTAAATATTGTTTTATTAAAACGTGTTTAGAGTTTTTATAAATTAAAAATAATTATCTCAGTATGTGAAGGGAGTTATGGAGTGGTAAGCAAATAAAGCCACTTGGCTCAGGGTATACTTACTTTTTTTTTTCTTTGTCAAAAAAGTATGACCCCAATTTATACCCATATTGCAACATTTTTCAATCCTTCGGGTTTAGCATTTCAAGAAATTGTAATTGTCTTGAAATATGAGCATTAAGTTTGTCTTTATATGATTTTAAAAACAACTAAATTTACTTTATTTTACCATAATTAATCTAATCTGAACAGCTTATCTAAGTCCACTCTTGATGAATACTAAAACTACAACAATCACTATCCACATAACTAAATTATAGTTTTAATAAATTCCCATCAAACAATTTGACATTTAATCTCTGTCACATTTCTCTTTCAGATCCAACCAACAACGTTCACAATAACAAAAATAATAACAGCAATAACAACAACACCAATAAACAACACAACGGAAACAACGCGAACTCAAATCCGAGAATAGTTATTTCCAGCAGTAGTTCAACTGCAACATTGAACGATTGCATTGTAAACGGTAACGGCAACGGTCACAGCAACAGCAACAACAACAGCACCAGCAGTAGCATTAATACCAATATCAATATTAACAATAATAATAATAGTCAAAGCAACAACAATAACCACATCACAGTTGACAGTTTGGATCAACATCAACAATTGATATCGTTACCTGAATCGGGTGGTGCAGCAATTTTTCTCGAAAACGACCATAACAGTTTGTCAACAACAGCGGCCGAGAATACAAATTTTGTGGCGATACCATTATCGGAACGACCACCAATAATTTGTATAGCACAGGACCATCATCATCACCATCAACAACAAAATCATCATCATCAGCATAACGACAACTATTCACAAAGTTTGACAGGTTCAGCGTCGTGTTTACTTCGCTTTCGTCGGTGTTGTGTAAAACGTAAGTTATTGTTGTTTTTTCGATTTCATTTCATTCCTACAAAATTTTGTGTAGAGGGTGATGTCTAAAATTCGAAATATTTTATAACTTTTGAAGGGGCGTTCAAAATCATGGTACAATATAAGAGATTAGTTGAGAAAATAAAAAAGACTATACGGGGTTATTCATTTCGTGCTTTCAAAGGTAAACGTAATAGCCGTATATACACTTTGGTATGGCAAATGTATACTAACTTAGCTGGCTTATGACAGAACGGTTGTTCCATAAGCCGAGCTTAAAAAAGATTTCCAAGCGCGCGCATCTCATCCAATTTGAAATGCCATTTTCCGAGATGCTGTCTTCTACTTGATCTTTCCATCGAATTCGTGGTCTTCCCCTCCTGCGTGAAACATCACTTGGCTCGCTTTTATATGCCTTTTTAGCTGGGGCTTCTTCATCCATTCTCACAACATGAATTAACCAACATAGTAGCTGCTGCTTGATACGTCTGACTGAGTCAATGTCGGAGAATGGGTCCATAGATCTTCCGGAGAATTTTTCTCTCAAACCATGCTTCTGATCCATACAGAGCGTGAACTTGGTCTGGCGGTCTTGTAGAGTGTGAGCTTGGTCTGGTGAGGGGTGGCCTTTAGAAACAAGGCCGTCCCTCGCCACTGAGTCAATGTCGGAGGAAAGGTCCATAGATCTTTCGGAGAATTTTTCTCTCAAACACTCAAACATAGCCTCATCTTCATGCGCAAGTAACCATGCTTCTGATCCATACACCAGTACGGGTAACATCAGCGTCTTGTAGAGTGTGAGCTTGGTCTGGCGAGGGGTGGCCTTGTTTCTAAATTGCTTATTTAGACCATATTAGCATATGTGGGCCTTCTCTGAATTTCAAAACTGATGCCATTATTATTATTCTATACATACAGGTTTATAAAATCTTTGACTACCTCGAAGCTGTAGTTTTCTAGTTCCACGGTTGGTCCGATTCTAATGGACGTCTTGCGCATTGATACCATCAGCTTGGTCTTCTTGCCATTACTGCCAGATTCCTACTCACTTTGTTCAAAGGTGGCTGTTACCGCTCACAATATTCGACCCATTATGTCGATGTCATCGACGTACAGAGTGCCATTTCTGTTCACCTTTGCCACTCGTATGACCTTTTCCAGCAGGATGCTAAAACGATCATACGATAAATTGTCACCTTGTCTGAATACTCGTTTGGCATTAAAGGGCTCCAATAGGTCTTTTCCGATATTACCAGCATCTTAACAGTTTGGCTGGTAACCCATCGGCACCTGCTGCTTTATTATTCTTCATCCGATTTATTGTTATTCTGACCTTATCTTGGCTAGATGGTATACAATATATACCGTCATCTCTTATTGGATCTTTTTCATTGTCACTATTTGATACCAGAAGCATTGCAAAGTGTTCCTTCCAGACCCTCAACACGCTATCTGTATCTGACACCAGGTTTCCTTCTTGCACCAAAACCTCCGGACTTCATTCTGACTCCTGTACATCTCGATTTGCCCAAGCTCGTGTTTTTCTTGTTCTTTCTACTTTTTTCTCCTGTTTTCTTTTCTTCCGATAATTTTCCATTGCATTATGTGTTGCTACTGTCTGCAAGGTTGCACTATACGCTGTGTTTTTCACATCAGTAGCATTACAACACTTCTGATCGTGCCATGGTGATCTGGTCTGGTGATGGTGGTCTTTGGAACCCAAGTGCTGCTTTTGCTGCAGTTTGTAGAGAGTGGGCAATTCTTTGCCATTGTGCTTCTATATTATTATCGCGACAAGGAGTGTTTTCGTCAAGCAAGTGGGTAAGTTAAGCGTAGTAGGCTTCTGCTATCTGTTGTGTTGGCAGCTTTTCGACGTAGCGTTTCAGTGTCACATCAGATCGCACCTTTGCTGCTAGATTAAGACAAGTGCGAACCTTGGCTGTTACAAGGTAAAAGTCCGAATCAGAGAACAACAACAAGTGGCTTATTTTGATACATATGTAGCACTTGCTAATTATGAGTACAATTATGTGGCTTACGTTTGTCTGTGGCTTGTTGAAGTTCTCTGCTCCGAATCGATATTCGCTCCTCGTACCGATCAACATCTAAAACACTGGATGAATGCCTTTTGTCTATCACAACATGATAAATTTGATTTCTCGTTGCTTGATCGTGCGAAATCCAGGTGACGTTCTGTATATCTAGATGCTTGAACTTGGTGCTGCTAATACCATGTTTTTTGCATCCGCGAAGTCAATCAACCTAATGCCGTTGTCGGATTTTTCTTCATGAAGACTGAATTTTGTTTGAATGTTTTTTCTACGCCCTCGTAAAATATATTTCTGATCTTTTCATATTTGTCTTTCATCGCAGCATGGGCACAAATGAGATTGATGTAGAATAACTTCGCTTTTATACGGATTATAGCAATTCGCTCATCCACTGAAGTGTATCTGAAGACGAGGTCTTTTATTCTCCAGTTAATCATAAATCCGCAGCCAAATTCATATCTCGTTTAGTGCAGCTATTATACAGGGCGTAATAATCTGATTTACTTAGTCCAGTCCCTTTCCATCGCATTTCCTGTGAGTACATCCGTCAAAGCGAAAACTTCGCCTGTTCTGTACATCGTGCGCACATTCACAGATCGTGGTCCTATATTAGTTTGCGGGGGTCAACATTAAGGGAGGTTTGGTTTCCTTGTCAATTCTTCTCCACTCTATATTAAATTTGCATTCCGTTTTCAACGCCTCGAAATAATAACCCAAACCAGTAAGGTAAAATGCCGTAAAATGGGACTGGGCCGACTGTATGATACCTTTCACCACTTTGGGTATATTGAACATATGCATCTTAACAATTTTATGTCAATGTTCCCTCGAAGAAACATACACATGCCTTTCTGCAACCTATGCTAAATGTAATTTCATTCGAGCAGATGTATGGAAATCGATTTATACCAAACTTGATACGCGCTATTCGGTAAGCCGCACAGTTAAAAAATTAATCTCATTCAGACACCCTTTCGAAATATATATGAAAGCTACGTCTGCTACTGCACCAATTTCAACAAAACGCAATAACGTCATTCTTGTCTCAATTTGATACGTTTTGCAAAATTTCGTGTCAATCGGACAAACATTAGGATTTTGGTGCACCATTTACCTAAAATCATACTAAAATATATATGGGAGCTATATGTAAATCTGATCCGATTTTTTCGAAACTTAAAACACATCGTTCAAGACTTAATTCAGTACACCATGCCAAATTTCGTACAAATCGAAAGATTTTTAGGAACTTTGGTGTACCATTTGCCTCAAATCGAACGAAAATATATATCGGAGCTATTTCTAAATCTGAACCGATTTTCACGAAACTTAGCACACACCATTCTAGACTCAATTCAGTACGCTATGCCAAATTTCGTGCAAATAGGGGCTTTGGAGCACCATTTACATAAAAGCTATATCTAAATCTTAACCGATTTTCACGAAAATTAACACACATCGTTCTGGACTTAATTCAGTTTCACATGCCAAATTTCGCGCAAATCGAAAGATATATATGGGCTTTGGTACACCATGTACATAAAATCGGACGAAAATATAAGTGGGAGATATATAAATCTAGACCGATTTTTCCCAATTTCTATAGGGTTTGTCCTTGTGCCAAATAAATGAGCTGCACCAAATTCTATGTATAATTCTAGTCTATGTGATTTCCGCCTGTATCCGTATACTCTTTGGTACCCCAACTTTTACTATTTTGCTGATTTCATACAAGTTTTTCAACCGAATATAGCCCCTGCAGGAACGTCCAGTCACTTTATAGGTATGTTGATGGTCCTCAGCTTATTTTTCAATTTCAGCTTCTAGGATCGTCATGGCCGAAAAACCTATTTGCAAAGCATTTTCAATATATGTCTATGTTTTTAAATAGAACACACACAAAAAGGACACGAGTTATTTTCCGTATGTGCAAGTTCCTGGCCAAATTTTCTTAATTGAATGTCTGTAGTTTTTATTTCGTATTCTTCTAGTCACTATTTACTATGTCATAGCCCCCATATAAAATTTCCGATATAATTTAGGTGTTTTGAATGTCCAGCTCATGGTGGACCGAACTTAATGGCGTTTTTTACTTGTTTAAATTGGATTACGAAGAGAATTGAAAATTTTACTTAGTGCAACACACACATCACCCTCTAAATATAATGTCACAAATTGTGCTTTTTTCAGTAAATTTACTTTGATGTGTTCTTATTTTCTATTTTTTGCTTTCATTGCAGTTTTTAGTAAAATTATGGGCAGCAACAATCCAAGTGAAGTCGATCGATACGAATACTATGACTGTAAGTACGAAACCATTAACTGTGTAATAACTTTCAAGAAAACTAGCTGATCATTTCACATTGACATTTTATGGGTTTTAAGAGTAGCACATAACGACAATCAGTGACTAGTAGTAGTTGTTGTTGTAGCCATACGACAAGACTGTTCCATCAATAAAATCTTACATTGTCATATATATATACAAAAAAGGAAAAAGTAACAGTGACGAATGTGCCATAAAATGCGAAAAAATATATATATTGTAAGCTCAATTTATATTCTCTTCACCACAACAATGTTAAGTATTTTGTTCGCAAGATATTCTCAGGTCCTTTGGCAGAACTGGAATTTAAGTTCCTGGTTTGTTACTTCGTGCAGTGTATATTAAAAAGTTTCAAGTCATAAAACATAATTGTCATGTGTGTGTGCAACATATTTTTTTTCGAAAAGAGGAAACTTTTTTAAATATTTCCCTTAAAAGAAAAATTGTCACACAACAAATTTTCAAAAATAAAAAAAAAACTCTAAAATAAATGGAGCAGAACACACATTACACTTTATAATTGAATTACGGCTGGAATGGCAAAATGTTGTTGCCACACATTTAAGACAAAGTTTTTAACTTGACGTCATCTATCAGATGTTCAAGAAAATAAAACTGAAACTTCAAATTAACACAAATTTCATTAACTCAAGAATTTCTGTGAATCTAAGTTATGTGTTTTGTTTTAGTCTTTTTTCTGTTTTGGCTTTTGAAAAATATTGCCATCCTTAGCAGCTGAGTCATTTAATTTCATCAATAAATTTTGTCATGCTTCGTTTAACGGGAGGCTGTGTAATGGCATATAATGTTTGTAAGTTGAAAAAAAAACAACAACAACCAAACGTTTAAAAATAAAAATTACATAGCAATACTAGGTCAATAAATTTTCACCACAAGAAAAAAGTTGAAAATTAATGATTTTAGGTACATGGAAAGTGATCAAAACTATATTTTTAAATATTTTATAAAAATTAGGCTTAACAAAATTAGAGTATTTTGCAAATATTTAGTAATGATAACAGTTTTACAATACATATATTTAATTTAAACAAAAAATATTTTTATTGGGCTTAAGAAATATTTAAAAATTATAAATATCTTTATACACTTGTCTGTATATTGTAGTACTCGTATTTGGGATTGTGAATGGGTAGCAACGCTTCCTAAATTATCAATATTGGTATATATGTTATAATATAACGTAAAAGGTCAAAATTTTCGGTATTTTGGGGGAAGTTGGGAAACATTTGCTTTAATTTAGTGCTTTGAATTCTACCAAATATTATTAAAACTTGCCCACATTTTAGAACATCCCCCATATTACTTTACCTTCAATTATTTGGTATTTTGGGTGTGATGGATGAATTTCAAACCGAATTGACTTTAATTAGCTTCTCATTGGGTATGATGTATTCCTATCAAAAATTTTCATTGATATAGGCATACATGTTTTAGGGTCCCGAACGATTACAGAAATTTTAAATGTTCACTTCATGGTGAAGGGTAAAAGAATTTCGGCCAGGCCGAACATATTCATATGGGATATATCGGTGGGATATCAGAAATTCATATAAGAGTTACTTTTGTTGAATACATTCTGCTAAAACTTTTGGAATACCGAAAATGGGACATGTCCTTTATATGGGAGCTATGTGAAAAAAGAAACCAATATATTGAAAAAAAAATTTGTTTACCTTTCAATAAACTGAAATATCAAATTATAGTCACTTGGGTTGGAAAATTAAGTTTAAACCCCATGAAATAACTAAAATTAGGAGGCCTTCTATATCCGGATATAAAAAATTTTCTGAAAATGGTTGATTAACTTTTATATTAATGAGCTATGTGAAAACATATCCTTCGGTTAGAAAATGTGGCGGATACCTTCCAAATATCGAAAATGTGGCGGTAAAGTCATATGGGAGCTATACCAATACGTGAAATTTTATTGAAAATGCTATGCGTATATATACGAGGTTTGATCAAATAATGGAAAAGTTGTTTTATTCATCAACAAATACCCTGGCCCCTTCAAAGTAATCCTCTTAGATATAATCCATTTATAACAGATTTTTTCCTATCCTGAAAATACTTCTAAAAGGCGTTTATTGGTATGTCCAATGGTTCCGGTATCTATTTTTCTTTATCGTCGTTGACGATGTTCTACAGCCCCTTATTGATTTCCATACGACGTAGTATTTGTTCAAAATATCCTGCTTAAAATGTGTTTGCCATGTGCCGAACGATATGCCAATATCATCAATAACCTCTCTAATAGTGATTATCCAGGATCAATTCCTTCACTGCTTCAATATTTTCTTCGGTTATTGACATGCTCAACCAGATCTAGAATCGTCATTGACATTGTGTAGACCGGATATATCACAACTGAACATATGTTCGACTCATAGTAGACTCGCCAAAAACCACTATAAACATTTTAAATACAAAAAAAAAATATATTATTTATAAATGCACGCATAGTTTCAAACATCGAGGCCTAAAGGCATTATTTCTTAAAACAAAACACGAATAAAATATATTTCTAAAATAATACATCTATAAATATATTTCTAAACCAGTAGATGGGGCAGTGTAATCGGACAGCGCGGACAACATGACACCATACACAACTACCAATGAACTTTAAATTTCTGTGGATCTATATTCCTAACCTGGACAATATTTCCTCTTGACCGATGAGAGGTCGAAAGCTATATTTTCCGAATCTTGTATTCCTGGAGTGAACATTCTCGCCATGAGATCCAAATTTTGTAATTTCAGACAAAAAAAGTATCGGTGTTGTTAAGTTAGGCTTCTAGACCGACTCGAAAACAAACACAAAAATCGAGTTTTCAGTCCATTTAATCCCCATAAATATGATACGATAACCGTAGCCGGAGCTTGACCTTAGTTTCATCTAGATTGGTAATGGCAATAATAAACAATATCATAATAGGTATACCCCTTGTAAATATATACGTATATCTCCCACATAACTCTGGTCTTTGTCTTTCAGGAATAAGTATATACGCAACAGAATTTTGCTTTCCATTTTTCCATACAAAAGTCTAGGTCAATTTGACTCGCTACATATTTACAGATTATCACGAAAATAAGCATGCTGTGGACATATCCCCTTTCGTAATGTTCGGGTCAAAATATTTTTTGACCTAAACGAACATACATGCAAAATTTTGGTGCACAACTGTGGTCTGGGTCAAATTAGAATGAACAAACAGAACAAACCCACACAAAAAAAAAATAATTTTATAATATCATTCAACCATTTATCTTTACCAAGCCAAGATCAAGTCCGAATTTGGATTCCATTCGTCCACTTATTCTGGTACCAACCCTACAAATGGTCAAAATGTTCAATGTTTATAAATCCAATATTAGGCGAAACATCGTTGATGAAAACATATATCTTATATAAATCGAATAATAAAACCTGTGTTTAATTCTATAGACATCCGCAAACCATTTGGTATATATCTGCCGACAACACCGACTGACACTTTTTCTTGTTTTTATTTAATATGAACCTACTACTTCTCCAGAATATCTCATTAAAATTTCAAGTGAAAATCTCAAGCACTCTTGAAGATATAGCCGATTTATTGTGTCAGCATCAAATGAATGCAAGAGTGCTTCTCAAACCATAAACGCGTTTTCCTTAAACAAGTGTTTTAATGATTGGCGGGCAGCATAACTCAAAAACAATAAATCCAATCGATTCCAAACTATAACATATTTGTCAGGGCCTACATAGCTATCGTATAAACTAGGATATATTCAATCGATGAATATCTTCCCTATTTTCCTGCTTGGTTTTTGGTCGCTAATAGGCGATTTTCCAAAAAAATATTTTCCCAGGTCCGACATTTTGGAAGTTAATAATCTTTGTTCATACATGTATCTTTCTACTAGCGTTGGAATTAAAGATTCGAATGTTCCAGTGATAGGCAATTATGCAAAAATCATTACAAAAATTTCAACAAAATTTTGTGAATTTATTTTTTTTGTCTTTAAATCTTCAAATACATTTATGCAAAGTTAAAAATCTTTAACATAATGTATGCTAATTTGCCGGTTGAAATCGAGATATTTAAGCATATTTTCTAAAAGCCACGCCTACCAATATATTCTCAAGTTATGTTAAGACAAATTCACGGCATTCTCAGGGAATTCAAAAAGGGTGTTGCCCACAAGTTACTGATCCATATTGTCGAAGAAATATGCCATGCAGAAATAAAATAAAAAAAATCAACAACATACATATCATGATATGCAGGAAATAAATACACACAAATAATTCTGGAGCCAAACCAGGAAAACTGTATAAAAATGTGTGTACTCGTACACACGTAACTACTCTGTTCGCCAGACCATACACCAGAGGAAATACATTAATGCAGAATGTATATCTTAACAGTTTACTCACATGCATGAATACCAACAAATGTTTATATGTGCGATTTTATTTTCCACTACCACTACCGATGGGTATACATATATGTATGTATACACATAGGTATATTGCTGTTGTTTGTATATATGTCAATGTACACAAAATGGTATTCGATTTGTTGTTTCATCATTTCCCTTTGCTCCTGATGCGACGACGACAACGACGATATTCCATCCAACAGATGTACTTAAGAATGATTGTATGCCAAGGATATTTTAATGATAATTATCCTTTGGGAGATACAAGTACAACTTGTGTGCGAGTGTGTGTGTGTGCGTATTTAGCAAAACGAGTTGAAACAATACGCTATCATTTGCACGTCCTATAATATTAGCTTTAAGTTGTTGATAAAATATCTAAAAGTAATAGCAGATTAAGACGATTTGCTGTTAGCATGTAGTTCTTCGATAATAATTATACGGCATAACAGCAGTAGTAGAATCATTTCGTAAAGTAGAAAACGATAATAGCTACAAGATATTGTTTTGGAAGAAGTCTTGCTGAACTAGTTTCTCTTATCTTTATCTTTGTATTCCATGAAAGGAAATAAGAC